AACTCAGGTCCACCTGACTTCAGGGCTGGTGCTCTATCCACTGTGCCACTAGCTGTCCCTCCAGTCTGTTTTTTAAGATATTATTTTCTTCAGTATCTTTTTGGGTCTCCTTTAATAAGCTGTTGACTCATTTTTCATGATTTTCTTTCATCACTCTCATTTCTCGTCCCATTTTTCCTTTACTACTCTTCATTTTCAAAACCTTTTTTGAGTTCTTCCATGGCCTAAGACTAAGTCACATTTTTCTTACAGGTTCTGGATGTAAGAGTTTTGACTTTGTTGTCTTCTTCTGAGTGTTTTGATTTTTCTTGTCACCATAGTAACTTTCAATAGTTTTTTTTTCTCTTGCTTGCTCATTTTTCTAGCCTATTGGTTGACTTTTAACTCTATGTTAAAGTAGCTGTCCCAACCTTCAGGGGTGTTATACAGCTGTTTTCAGAGTTACTTCTAGTTATCAGTAAGTTTTCAGTTCTTCCAAGGTGGTATGACCTAAGGAGAGATATTTACTACTCTCTTGGCCTGTGCACAGGTCTGTGAGTGACCACAAGCACTCTTTTCTACCCTAGAACAGTGAGAAGGGTTCCTCCTCCACTGTGGACACAAGCTCTGCTATACTAGTACTCTTCCTCTTCCTGGGACTGCCACCCAGGACTGTAAATTAGATATGAGTATGGACAAATCAACAGAGTACTGCTTCAGTAATACCAAAGAGACCCCTGTAATCTCCTGAACAGCTGTTCAACCCCATTACTGTCTGCAGGCTGAGAGCTCCAGAAGCAGCTGATGCTGATTCAATCATTCCCTATGCCTCCTCCTGGTTTGCCACGGCCAGGGCTGCACTGGTGGGGTCTGTGCTGACTGCACTCCACTATTACCCAGGTGAGACAGAACTTTCTTGCTGACCTTCTAAGTTGTCTTTGGCATCTGTGGGCTGAGAGGTCTCAAAACAGCCACTGTTGCCAGTGATTCAGTGGTCCCATGGTCTACTCCTAGTTTTCAGTGGCCGGGACTATGCTGGTGTGTCCTGCTATGGACTGCACTCCTCTTTCACCCTGGCACATCTGACCTTTCCTGCCAACCTTCCATGTTGTCTTGGTCTGGAAATTTGTTTTGTTCTGTCTTTTTGTGGGTTCTGTTGCTTCAGAATTTGTTTAGAGTCATTTTATAGGTATTTGGACAGCTTTGGTGAAGAGCTCAGGCAAGTCCCTGCCTTTATTCTGCCATCTTGGCTCTGACTTCTGAGCCAAATTTATAAAAATAAAAGCTATTCCCCAATTGATAAATGGTCAAAATATATCAACAGGCAGTTTTCAGATGAAGAAATCCAAGCTATCTATGGTCATAATAAAAAAAAAGTGCTTGAAATCACTATTCATTAAAGAAATTCAAATTAATAAAAAAAACTCTGAGCTACCACCTCATACCTATCAGGTTGACTAATAGGACAGAAAAGGAAATTACAAATGTTGGAAGAAATATGGAAAAATTGAGACATTAATGCACTGCTGGTGGAGTTGTGAACTGATCCAACCATTCTGGAAAACAATTTGGAACTATGCCCAAAGGGATATACAACTATGCATATCCTTTGACCCAGCAATATCACTACTAGGTCTGTATCCCAAAGAGATCAAAGAAAAGGAAAAAAAGACCTCTATGTACAAAAATATAGCACCTCTTTTTGTGGTGGCAAAGAATTGAAAATTGAGGGAATGTCCATCAATTGGGAAATGACTGAAGAAATTGTGCGATATGGTTGTGATGGATTACTTTTGTGTTATAAGAAATGATGAGCAGGATGAAGATGTATAGGAACTGATGCAAAATGAAGTGAGCAGAACCGGAGAACATCGTACATAATAACAGTAATGTTGTACAATGATCAACCATGAATGACTTAGCTATTCTCAACAATACAATGATCTAAAACAATTGTAAAGCATTTATTTTTAAAAATGTTATCTACCTCCAGAGAAAGAATTGATGGAGTCTGAATGCAGATCTAACCATACTTTTTTTTTACTTTCTTTATTTTTCTTGGGTTTTTTTGTCTGTTTTCTTTTGTAACATAGTTAATATAAAAACATGTTTTGCAGATTTCACATGTAAAATTGATATCAAATTTCTTGCCTCTTCAAGGGAGAAAGAGGGGATGGAGAAAAAGAATTTGCAAGTTAATTTTTTTAATAAAAGCAAATTTTAAAAATTTATATGTAAAATAAAATTTTATAAAGAATACTTATTACATATAGACCAATATCTCTATTGAATATCAAAGTAAAATATTGAATAAAATATCAAGGGAATTATATACAATATGTTTAAAAGATTATATACCCCATGACAAAGTTGGACTTTTATAAGGAATACAAGCATAGCTCTATGGTAGGGAAAGATTTAATATAACAGACCATTTTAAAAACAAAAAGCAACTGGAAAGCACTTAAATATATAAATAAATGCAGAAAACTAATTTTTAAATAAAATTCAACAACTATTTATGAGAAAACTTAGGAAAAGCACAGAAAAATGCTTATTTCCTAATTGTGGTAAGTGGTATCTATCCAAAGCCAGGAGCTACCACCACCTATGACACAGATATACTAACAGTGATTTCAGTAAGACCCAGGGTTAAGCAAGTATATATATTTTTAACTACATTAATTTACATAATTCCATAAATTCTACCTATAGTACTAAAACAATGAAAAGAAATTAAGGCAATTTATGCTGGCAAAGAAGATACAAAATCTATTTTCTGCAGATATGAGTTTGTTTGGGGAGTCATAGAGATATAACTTAAAGGCCCAATGAAACAATAGCTGCAGTAAAGTAGTAGAACATAAAATAAACTCACAAAATCATCAGCCTTCCTTCATATTATGCAAGAAAACCCAGCAGAAAGAGAAAATGAAATTTCAATTTCAAAAACAGTATGTATAAATTATCAGGGTGTCTACCTATCAAGAAATACACAGGAATCATATGAAAACAATTTTGAAACAGACAGAAATAAAAACATAAATTAGGGAAGACTCAAATAATTGGAAAGATCCTAATGTTCACAGTTGAACTATTCCAATGCAATATAAATGACCTTAGTTAAAATTATTTCTATATTCAGTACTATATCAATCAAAACTTTTAAGGGGTTACTTAAAGAATAAATGAAAGAAATTAATTAAGCTAAAGAAACAAAAGGTAAATAATCTCGAGAGTAATAATAACTAAAAAAAATAGATGGGAGGGAAGGACATAGACGTAGCAGTATCATATTTCAAACCATACCATAAAACAGAAATCATTAAAACTATTTGGTACTGTTTAAAAAACAGATAACTCAATCAGTAGAACAGATTAGGTACAAAAGACACAGAAGCAGATTACCATAGTAACATAGCTTCTAACAAATCTAAGGACACCAACAACTAACTTTTAAGGAGAACTGCTGGAAAAACTGGAAAGCAGAGTGGCAGAAAATTGGTTTAGACTGAAATTGTACACAATATACTACAATAAACTCCAAATGGAAACATGATATAGAGGTGAAAGGCAATATCACTTTAAAAAATGAAGAGAATGGAAGGTGATACTTTTCACAACTATGAATAGGGGAAGAGTTATTGATCAAGCAATGGATGGAGAGGATCAACAACTTTGATAATGATGATAATTCATCATCATCATCATCATCATTGTCATCATCCCCACTAATATTCACCAGAAATAATGATTGAATGTATAATTCAATATCTCAAGTATCATTCTTATCCACCCTAATCTCTGTTTACAAATTAATAATCAATCAAAACAATTTTAAGAACAAAAATTTAATCTGAAATCCTCAAACATTAAACTATCACTAAGGGATACAGTACTATCATGGATTTTATCATACTACGAAAAATAATTTATTAATGTAATCCCAACATTATACTTCAAAATTGAGTTGCTAAAAATTTCTGTATCGGATAGTTGGTAATTCATATGTGGAAATGTAACTATTCCATTTTAAATCACAATGGGGCCTAGGATCACACTTAATTCTTTGTTCTGGCTCAAATCACCAGTTCAAAAGTATTGTTTTTAATTCCAAGCCTCTCCTACAAAATTATGTGTTGTACTTCTTATACTTTAATGCATTAGGCTTTTAATTTTAAAAACAATATTTCCTCTATTTAACATTACTCATATGACCAAGTGAAGAAAAAAACATATCTTATCATACTAGCCCATATCTTTCTGAACAAACTATCCAGATTAACCAGGTATTTCTAGAGGTGAGAGATATATGCCATTGTTAAATATATGTCAGCAGTCTTAAAAAGAAGATAATGGAAACATACTCTTGAGGGAAATGATTATCAATAACCAATGATTGGGGAACATCCAGAGTTCCCCTTTCTTCTATAATCCTCATTTCAAATTTCAGTCTCTTAAAGGACATTACAGATAATGAGACAGAATTAACTCTTCTCAATCTTGGTCAGACCCCATCCACCAGCTAATCAGGTTTGGGTGGGGATAAATTATTTTAATAGTTTGCCAGAGGCTGGGTAACTTAGCAGTAAGTGACATAATCAAAGCTCATTAGAATAGGTCCAGCCCTTCATTGTAATATTCATTCTCTCCTTAATTGTTAACCAATCAGAGTTGATTGTTGCCCTCAGGAATACCCCTTTTCCAAGGGCATTTAAGCCTTGAGCCTGCTGCCATGATTATCTTTGACATTCGAGAGTGCCACTAACCTTTTGTTAAAATGCTAGTAATATTAATAAAATGATTAACTACCTAGAAATTATGTCTCTCAAAATTTTTTAAACATCATTTGTCCAAAGATCCTGAATTTGAAGATCTATTCCCTTATCCTTCCAAATCCTAAAAAGCTTTATCATCTCTATTTTATTGATGCAGTAATAGCAACGATGACAACAACAAAGCACAGAATGATGTCATGATGGCCACATAATGGAACTGGCATGTGCTTTATCTATACCTACCTTTTTATATGCGATCCAGTCAAAAACCCTGTCAATGTCAGTGGCTTGGATCACTTCTTGGGATACTGGGTGTGAACTGGCCAGGCCATCCAGTAGCATCACTTCATGGAGCACATCAGTCAGAAATCTCTGTTTTTCCTGCAAGTACAGTAAATGAGGTAATATCATGGGTGACATATAATTATGTACATTATGCTCACAACAACACAAAAATAATGTGTGTCACTCAGAAATGACAAAAGACCAGCTTCTGATGGTGAATGTTAGCTTTTGCCAAGACCCCAACAAAGGAAATCAGTATATAAGAAAAAGCAAAATTGGTGTGCGGGAGTTGGTTCTCAGTGAACATATAGTAAAATCCAGTTGAAATGAAATTTCAAAATTTGGTAACTCAGCTTATAAGAAAAGTAAATAAAATGCCTGATTTGCATCCATGCATTGCAATGTGAGGACTGAAATGTCAGTCTTAAAGTTTAAGGTAAGTCTGCTGTCATCACTCTGGCCTCATTTAAGCAGCTTCAGTGCTGTTTATGACACACACATATGCACAAATATGCATACTTGCTAGAAGAATTTCACAGGATTGAAAATAGTAATAACTATGAAAATAAATTAAAAAGTGATATCTTTACCTATGCATATGCATAGAAAATAATAAGTACTTAGTAAAATGATTTACCCGGTGTTGTGAAGCTATCAAAACAGATGGAAAATTTTAAATGGTTTCTCTTTCATATACTGTTTTACAATATTTTCATTTGCTCTGTATGTTTAAAAATGTGCTGTGACATTTGATATGTTCTTGGTTGTGCTTGGCACACGGTAAGCACTTAAATGTATTTTCATTGATTCATTTATGTTCTACATAAGTTTTAAAATGTTCTTTATGTTTAAAAAGAAAAGGTGACTCTATAATGAAATTTTCCTTAGGAACACAGAGTTTTAGCAGCAATGTTCCTAACAGCTGTCCTGGTCAATTGTATCAAGATCTGCAGTAAAAGAAAAGAATATATAAGAAACAGGTTAAACCCAAAATGGAAATAAGGATGACAGGAGGAAGCTTATTTCCTTCTCATTTTCAGTCTGCTTTTAATTGGACAGAAAACAAAAATCACGTGTGAAGACGTATACATTCCTGTGAGTTTTCATTTTGAGAAGAAGGAGGGGGGCACAGAGAGTCTTCTGCTCTCTGGGTTGAGTGAAAATTGCCCCTAATTAATGTGATGAATACTACAGACATAAAGCTAGAGCCCAAGTTACTCAGTCCCTCTTAGCTCACTGGAGTTAAAGCCTCTAGGCTTTATGTCAATAGGATAAGTGCAGCAAGGATGCTGACTCAGGAGTAAATTTTGTTGGCAAGCTTAGTGAGAGGAGGCAGAGAGCTAGCCATCACTCTTTTTCCTCAACTGGCTGCTAATCCTGGGCTAGTACCCAGGATGATTTGGGCAGTCCATTTTGCAAGGCAGGATCCTGCTGACTGCGTCCTGTAGAGAGACAGGATTCCAATGGGGTGGGAGAGGGCAGATGCTTGTGAGGAAGAGGGCTGAGCACAAGGCCATTAAAGGAGTGTGAGGCATGGACCTGTGCCCAACAGATTGGCACCCTGGGGCCAAGCCACAATGGCTCGTGCTAGTTTTATGCTTCTGTCAAGTATTTGATAATGAAGAACAGTAATTGAGAAGTAAAGTGACAAAAGAAGCAAAGTTAGGTAACACATAGAGTAAGATACCTTCAAAGTGACTAGACTTTTGCTACATTAAACTGTGTAGAGGTAGTCTATTAGATTTATGGTTATCAAGTAAATGGGGGACAAGTACTAGGCCAATGTTTTAGTGGTTCCTGGCTGAGGAAACCCCCTTCCCCAATGCAGGACAGTATTTTCTCTGCAACTTATAAGCATAGAGAGTTATCTGGGACACTGAGATGTAGAGAAATGATTAATTAGTCAGGGGTCATATAGCCTGTAGGTTATAGAAGCAGTACTTGAACCCAGGTCTTCATGGCTGCAAAGCCAATTTTATGTCCACTATGCCATGTTGCCTTTCCATTGTCTACATACTAATTGAAAATAATTCTACATTCTAATAAAGAGCTTATATTTTTATTTCTTGACTGTGTCTCTGTCTCTCTGTCTCTGTGTGTATCTGTTTGTCTTTGCCTCTCTGTCTCTCCCTCTGCCTCTTTATGATTCTATCTCTTTCTTTCTGACTATCTCTGTGTCTCTCTGTGTCTGTCTCTCTCTATTTCTGTCTCTTTGTTTCCATCTTTCTCTCTGTCTCCATGTCTGTTTATCTGTCTCTGTCTCTCTTTGTCTCTGTCACTATCTTTCTGTTTCTGTCTTTCCATCTCTCTCTCTCTCTCTCTCTCTCTCTCTCTCTATATATATATATATATATATATATATATATGTGTGTGTGTGTGTGTGTGTGTGTGTGTGTGTGTGTGTGTGTATGTATGTATGTATGTGGATATAAAAAGGCAGACTGCTAACCCATGCTCCCCTAAAGGAATCAATTATTAATGGCTAAACTCAAGTTACTGACCAGCACCAGAGTAGTTTTTCAGCATCTCATAGGGCAATCTTTAGCAATTCAAAATACTTAAATATTCAAATAATTCAAACTTACCCTGTGTAACAATAACAAAAGTTCTTCAAACAAAATCCCATCATTGTATTTGCGTAAGGATAGCCTGGCCTACGCTAAAGCCCTACCCCTACCTTGATTTTTCACCTTGCTGTGGAGGTAAGCCTATGCTCCTGAAAGCTATGCCAGAGTGGGCACAAGCTCTAGAAGATCCTAACAAGCTGGAAAGTTTTGCACACGGGTCTGGAGACAGGCTACATTCTTGTTGTCCAAGGACCAGCTAAGGGCATCAGCTAAGCTCATCACCTAAGCTCATCAGCCAGTTGGCTGCAGAGTAATGAATTTTTCAGCCACAGTAACTCTCAAAGACCATCTACTAAATTGTCAAGGGGTTGTGATCCACACTGGCATCAAGGAGATGCCCGTGCTGAAGAAATCACAGATTCTTAAAGTACTAATGTCAGAATAGCAAAAATTAAAAAAAGGCCAAGTACCCTGAATTTTCAAAAACAAAAGCCAGCCTCAACATTGCCCTATTTAAGTTACCCCTCCAAAAAGATGAGACAGACCACACCTTATTTTTTAATGGTAGATATCACCTTTAGATCTGAATTTAGAGACAAAAGCTAAACGCTTTAAAATTCAAAGACAAAAAAGGAATTGTGGTTTTTCAGTATCTACATAAAGCTCATGAATTTTTGGGAAAGTACATTAATGCTACTTTGCAAATGGGTAAGAAGAGAATATTAAACATCCATCTATACTTCTTCTTGTCCTATGATCATTTTTTTCTATATCAAAAATCAATTTAAGATTTGTTTGTTAAATAGTAGATTAAGTGACATAAGTGATAATTTGTAGGTATATTCACAACATATTTTGGAATTTCAATGATCAATACTTAAAATACTTTAATATTTATCAAAAATAAAACACTAAAATACATAATAAATTAATCACCTCCATCTATTTTCATTCCTTGATATGAATGTCTTAAAGCAGTAATTTAAGAGTCTCAGCTCCTTGATGTATTTTATATATCTGCTAAATTTTAGGTATCGACTATTTATGCCTCAAAACATTATACCCATAAGAGACTTGAAATGCTGAGTGTACCCTAAGCAAACCAGTCTCTGCCTAGAAATTCAGTGAATTGCAAAATATTTAGAATGTTTAAACCATTAGAACACAGATACAGCTTGCCCATTGTTCTCTCCATTTGGAGGGAAAGATAATTGGGTAATTGGGAAAACAAGTTTATGCCCACAAAGAGATTAAGAGGGTAAAGGCCTAGAAGAAGAATATTCACAAAGGCCCAGAAGAGAAGATATCTTAAACTAAAGAGGAAAAAGAAAAATTCTAGCCAGCGGCAAATGCAGTTTAATAGAACCAAAGAGAGCTCCAGAGATACCCTATACTAATATTTAATAAACACTATCTCTGTAAAATGGGAAATAATCTTCCAAAATCCACCAATGTCTAAATAGAGACCTCACCAACAGCAACAACACATCAATAAAGTTCCTACTGCATACACTGCAAAGCTCACAAAAGAAGATAAAAAATGAAACCAAGAGAGAACACAGACTAACAGGATCTCAGAATTAGGAGGGATCCCAGGAACCACCCAATCTACTTCATGACTGAGTCTCATCTAAAATCCCCCCTCATTCCAAGCCTATGGTCCTTCAGTCTTTATTTGAAGACTTTGGGAGTAGAGAGTCAAGAGAAGAAAAGGTGGATCTACCAATTCCTGAAGCAATCTGCTCTACTTTAAGGCAATTTTAACTGTTAGGAGGAGGTTTTTATTTAAATAAATCTGCGTTCTACAACTATTACTCATCAGTACATCAATCAAGAATTTCTTGAGCACTTCACATGTACCAGGATCTGAGATTATAAAAAAAAAAAGACAAAAAGTTCTTTTAGTAGGTAGGTAGATGACAGACAGATGGATGGATAGATATGTTAGAAATTTACAAAGATAGAGAAATGAGCATTTATATAGTTTCTACTATGTACCATTAAGTCTCTAAGGCTAGATTTGACCTCAGGTTTTCCTGACTCCAGCATTAGTAGCTGCATAACTCTGGGCAAGTTAACTTAATCTGTCAGCCTCAGTTTCCTCAACTGCAAAATGAAGATAATAGTAGCCCCTACTTCACAATGTTGTTGTGAGGATCAAGTGAGATCATATTTGTAAAGTTCTTGAAGAGGTTCAAGAAAGATTAATGTAGACAGAAGCATTTGAGTTGAGCCTTGAAGGAAACTGTTAATTCTAAGAGATGTAGGGAGCAAATTTTAGACTAGGGTGACAGCCAACTGTATAGAAATGATCCACTGAGGAGTCAAAACAGAGCCTTGAGTATATAGGAACTGCTTATACATACGTATTGATATACTTGCATTACGATCCAGCAAAGGAGACCGAGTGGTCAGTAATATAAGAGGAGAGTCAGGAAAGAACAGTTTCATTAAAGTCCAAGGAGAAGAGAAAAATAAGAGGAGGCGGTAGTCAATAGTGTTAAATTATATGAAGAAATTGATAAGGAT